ACTTGGTTATATGATATCACCATTGTACGTGACATTAATAGAGAATATGATATCTTTTGAGTATCTGGCATCATAGGGGATTAGTATTTTCTTGTATATAATTTTTCCTCGATGGTATTTTTGTTTCATGGTTTCTTTTGCAGGATCAGATTATATTGGTTGTTTTAGAGATAAATCGGCTCGTGCCCTGGAGGTAAGTTTTAGGACTTTTATAAAGGTTCGCATTTGGATTACGCGTACAATTACTTTTAATATAATTTGGCAACTAAACAACATTACCTTTTAGGATATGTAGCAAATAGTTTACAGATATGGTACATTTTATACACCATAATACATGATTGGTCAGTTTTTTTTGGCCTGCAAAATCAAGTCATTTATTTTTTAGACCCCTTGTCATAGGTTATGGTTATTAATTTATCTTACTTCCAAAGGTCATCAAAACATTACACAGTTTACATGTGTGATTGTTTAATATTGATGGTAATGTATTGCACAACTGGTACGATGCATTTCAGAGCATTGTACAATAAATATGGTTCTACTACAATAGTATAAAATACGTGTCAAATATACGCACGACATATAAACATATTTCTACATCGATTTCATACGCGTTGATATGGAGACAATCGTACAAATTAGCGCCAGCAACGACTTTGCTTCTTTCTTGACTTCCTACATTGATGAGACATGATGCAGTTATGGAGTTGCAGTGCAGTGTTTTATCAGGGTGTTTATATATCAACTTCGCTAAACTAACGAAACCACACGACCGAACGACACCACTCTGCAATGCAACCCTGCCAAACCACACTACACTGCAGTATGTCCCAACCTTGTAGGAAATAACTATATATCCACTCCATACAAGATACATATATTTAAAGGGCGAATCTTCGAGTTTAATGTAAACAAACAATGAATTTTACACGTGTTGTATACGTCGCCATGAGTACCATATCGAACAGGATGCGGCGCGACAATCTTTAATGAAATTATTTTGAGATGCAGTTTGCTTTCTACGAACAAGTGTGACTTATTTGGACGCTGTCATGTTATCGTGAAACCCTCTCACGAGTTTTGGCGTTATTTTGTGTCTTCACCAGTATGATAGTTTTTAGTTGCATGTTTTCTTCTTTTATTTTAGTTTCAAGCAGATCTCGGTTCTGAAATGACTATTGACCTTTGCATTAATGCATGCGGACCCCACGGCAAATATGCTGGAGTGCAGTATTCATCTCAGTGCTTTTGTGGTGACGAATATGACAAGTACGGCGCCCTCAACGAGGATTCGTGTAATATGAAGTGTACTGGTGATAATAGCGAGATATGTGGTGGTACCTGGGCGAATGCTGTTTACAAGTCTAGAGGTAATTCTCACACTAAAGTCTATGTCATTCAGTGAACAATGGAATTGATAAATATAGTATTATATTTCCTGAAAAAAAAGTATTGTCACGTGGTTTGTTTCATGGCTCTATGCAATATTTTCATTTGCTATTTACATTTTTTTAGGAGAATGATTACTAAATATTGTCTACTATATACCACTTTTGTTGTAGAAACTTACAAACAACTGGAAAACAGATTTGACCACGAACAACATTTGACCACGAATAAGCCCAGATGCATTATTACATATCTTCTTCTTTTTGTTCCCAGAACCAACGTACATTGGATGTTACGTGGACAAGTCCAGTAGAGCGTTATCTGGATATTCGTACAGCGATGGCTCGAACATGACACCCAAATCATGTATCAACGCGTGTATTGCTAACAATGATGGACATAAAGTGTTCTACGCTGGTGTACAGTATGCTTCGCAGTGCTTCTGTGGAACTGACTTCAGCAAATATGATTCAGCAGATGAGGCGGACTGTAGCGCTGCATGTACTGGTGACAGTAACGAGAAATGTGGTGGAACATGGAGAAACTCGGTTTATAAAATAGGTATGACATATATTAACATACATCTTCAGAGACAAAAATAGAATTTAGCCGTCCGTATAAAGATGTATGGATGTGTTCGAGTGTCTTTCTTATTTGGAAAATACAATCACATCATATGTACGTCACAATTCGAACACTTTTCTTTGTTCACGCAATCTCCTTCCCATAGATATTTGTAATTTACAGCCTTCAATGTTGTGGCCAATTACCTCACTACGCACGGTAATTTTTTCAGTTGTTTCACTTGATACCGAACTGCAACAATCGGAAAAAAATGAAGACATACAACGTCAATGTGTGCTATACATATTTACGATTAATTTTGATGAAGTAAAGTCATCTCAACGCTGAATAATAAAATACGATTTTTGTGGCACACGTTCAAACCATGTCTCTCAGGCGTTACGTGAGATCTCGCACAACGTCTCTTTGGATCTAGTTTTCAACCGAAGGAGTACACACACATACTCAAACACGCCACAAGACAATCCTTACAATTGGCTAAATTAATATTGGATCGCGACATGGAAACTTCGGTATTTCTGACAATTTAGAGCTTTCTTGTTTGTTCTTGCATGCTTTCCTATTTTAATATCTTTTTGGGTTAGGAACGTCCCTCAGTGTTACGAGTAATATTAACCCTATAAGTTACCTTGCACATTTACTGAGACTATCACTACCTACTCATAACGAATATGATAATAAATAGTTAAATATGGTTATAGCATTTTTTCTAAACAAATATGACAGTATGATAACTCTACACCGTGAGTTATGCACTCACGTGGTTTTCTGATTGATACGACTGTTTAATAAAAACATTTTTGTTTCAGAAATCGTATAAATATTATCCATCGAACCAAGCAAGCAAGAACAGGACAGTTAAGTGTTTGAAGATCTCTATGATGCTAATTCACGGAACAATCTCATTAGTCTTGATAAATCGTGTTCTCATTCATCTTGTTCCTGTAGTTGATGATAGTAATGTAGAATAAACGCATAATTAAAGCAAATGATGCCATGTGTCAGTGTGTACGTGCTTTTTGTGCATATCAGCAAAGCATGTTATGCGAGAAATATAGTTTGTCCAAAATATTGAATATAATTTGTATCAAAGATTTTTATATCAACCTCATGGACAGATGTATTGTGTTGTAAATATAGAAAAGGCGTGGTATATATATATATATATATATATATATATATATATATATATATATATATGTGTGTGTGTGTGTGTGTGTGTGTGTGTGTCTGTGTGTGTGTGTGTGTGTGTGTGTGTGTGTGTGTGTGTGTCTGTGTCTGTGTCTGTGTCTGTGTGTGTCTGTGTCTGTGTCTCCAGTATCTTCACATATTAATTCTTCTGTGTTTTTTTGGCTTGGCCAATTTCGCTCGAAATTGGCTGACAGGTCAGTAGGTAGAAGGTAAAATCTGTAAAAATTCTGTCCCACCGTTGCCCACAACAGCCAAAGACTTTTGAACAGCTTCGCGCGAAATGTATCTTCTACATATTTAGGATTAAATTTTTGATATCTTTTTTTATTACCAAGAAATTTGAAGTTGTGGTAACATTTCACCAGTTAACGGATTTTTAACTCTTCTGTGATTTTTTTGTTCATACTTGGCAGGCAGGTCATACCGTTAATAATTGTAAAAAAAATCTATTACCTTCTACCAATCTTGCAATAGCAGTGTTCAAATGATCATGGGGTTTTTACTTTGGCTAAAGTTGCGCACCGATAGGAGATCACAGGCGC